CAGGGTACCTTGCAAGTATTCACACTCCTTCTGCCTGGAACACCCTTCTCCAGGTTGGCTCCTTCTGACCATGCAGGTCTGAGATTAAGAGCGAACACCACCTCCTCCAGGAAGTCTTCCTGGATTACCCAGTCACTCCCCCATCACGTTGCCTTGTATTGAACATAAGGAGTACAAATTACCGCTGAGGACTTTCCTGTTTGCAAATTTGTTGGCTCTTTGTCTCTCCCTCTCTCTCCATCACATGAACCTGTCCTAGAATGCAAGCCCCGGGGGTCACAGTGACCTAAGCCGGAGGGCAGGGAAACTGAGGGAAAACTCCAGGCCAAGAAGGTACCTTAGAGGCAGGAAAGACAGGAGTCGGGCACTTTGGGGAGGAGACCCCACCCTGCCACACACAGTCAGGGTTGCCTTGAGTGGGTCCCTGTGCCCGAGCCTTAGTATTCCCACTGGGGATACAACTGAACCCCTAACCTCTCCCTGGGCGGTCACCCAAGAATCCAGGGAAACCCAAAGTGAGAAGCCACCCTTAACCTTCACTTCACAGCTCTGACCATTACAGCAAGGAGCCCACTCGGCCTTCCCTTCTTGCCTGTCCTCCTTCCTGAGAAACCGCAGGCCATGCAGACAGCCCCCTCACTCCGTTGGTGTTGCCCAACTTTGTGACCAGATCAGCAGGGCGTAAGTTCAGGGCCTGCTGTCGGCTGAGTGTTTGTGCCCCTCCAAAGTTCCTACGTTGAAACCTAACCCCCAATGTGAGGCTATCAGGAAGTGGGACCTTTGGAAGGTGATGAGGTCATGGGTGGGATTAGTGCCCTTGTAAAAGAGACCCCAGAGAGCCCCCCCGCCCACCATGGGAGGACACAGAGAAAGACTGCATCTATGAGCCAGGAGTGGGCTCTCACCAGAACGTGGCCATGCTGGCGCCTTGATGCTGGACTTCCCAGTTTCCAGACCATGAGAAACAGGGGTCTGATGTTTACAAGCCACCCAGCCTGTGGTATATTGCTACAGCAGCCTGCGTGGACAAAGACAGGGCCCATTTTACAGATGCAGAAACTGAGTCTCAGAGCGGTCAAGGCTTAGACAAGATCTCCTGATTTCTCAAGAGTAGCCAGCAACCTGGACTGCGATACTGACACCTCCCACTTTTTAAATGCTGTCAACAAATAAGAGAAGTCTGCAGGCCAGACATGGCCCAAGGGCAACCCTCCCCCACTGGACTTCCAGGCAGGCTCAATTCTCCAAAACGCCAAGCCCTCCCTGCTGATGCACTCCAGGGCTCCTGACTGAGGGGGCTGACTCTAGAGCAGCCAAAATCCCCCAAAATGATTTTCTCAAAAAAAGACCCAACTCTGCCTTCAACTTAGGACACATCCCCGAATCCCCTGAGCCCAAATTAGTCTCAAAATCCAGTCAACTGCCCACAAAACTTGGTGTCCGTGCTCACAGAGAAGGCAGGGGTTAAGAGCACAGACTGGGAGCCAAGCTCACGTGGGTTCACACACACCCGCCTTCCCTCTGTGTCCGTGTGACCTTGCATAAGCCATGGCATCTGTGCAGGTCTCAGCTTCCCCATCTGTAAAATGGGGTGAATACCAGTCCTTACCCCCATGGGGCTGTATAGGACTCAATGAAGCAAACTCTGTGAAGGGCTCAGAACACAGAGTCAGCAGTGGATCGGGGTTAGTCACTGAGTTGTTCCAACTCTGAGGCCCACTGAAATGGAAGAACCAGGGACAGGAGACCAAATAGGAGGGGGATTATTCTGTCTGCCAAAGTCTCGGCCTTGAACATAACCACCTAATCCCTCAAGGGCACCCAATCTGAAGGACTCCCAGTTGCCTGCAGAGTTGACTCCCATCTGTTTGATTTCTATGGCTCCAAACCTCAGTTCACATTAACAGATGTATTTGTTACAGAAAAGAAGCGCAGGCCCCCAGCAAAGGCGGGCCCGTGGAAGGGCTGCGACAATCACCCCGCACCTTAGAATCCAGAAGCCCGTCCACACCACGCTGTGTGAGGCCACGCAGGGGAGTCTGGCTGAGTGAGGTGGGGCGGGGGCGGGGTGGGGGTGGTGGTGATCGGCGCCTGGACCAGGATCCTGACACTGTGTGACCTCAGGCAAGTTATTTAGCATCTCTGGATCTCAATATCCTCACCTATAAACCGTTGAGTAGTGAGAGTGTCCACGTGCCCCCAGGGTGAGGCTTCCACTGTGTCCAGACAAGGCAAGGCCTGGGACAGGGCCTGGAACGCGGTGAGCCCCTTCGGCAGCTCTTGGCTCCGTGGCCCCATCCCCAGCAGCTCCGCTGTGAGGACCTGCTGCCTTGGTGAGCAAACACTTGCCACTCTGACCTCACCAAGCAGCTGTCTTTCTCATGACCTTGGGCTCCGTGAATAGAGCCACAGTCCCCTCGAGGACCATACAGTAGAGCTCCTTTACCAGAAAGACTCCCCTGTGTACAGGGAGGAACGCCTGGGTGGAGAATTTTTTAAAAGGAGAAATTGTGTAAGCCACGGGCCTGCTCTGACGCCAATTCACTGTGTGACCCTGAGCAAGTCACTCCCCATGCCTGAGTCCCCATTCTCCCATCTGCAAAGGGGGCTGTTGGGGGGGGTGGGGGAGAGAGGCTCTAAGATGCCTTCTTGCTCTGCAAGACCACTCATTTACTCCAAGAGCCAGCTGCTGGTACCACTCTCGCCCCACAAAATGGTCTACGGTGCCAGGGCGCCCCCATCTCCCCACGGTGATGGGCAGCATGCCCTTGCTCAACACCATAGCTACAAAGGGAAATGTACCCTCTCTGCACCCATTCAATATGAGACCCAGGAGAGAAGAAAGGAGCCACCCAGCCGCGTACAACTGGGGGGCTCATCGGGGAACAAGGCCCCTAGAAGGGCTTTGCGGGCCCAGAGACCACCCTCCTGGACTTCACACCAACAAGCGAGGGGTTTCTTTTGCTCTCTTGGATCATGGCAACCACCATGCTCATTGTTGGCTCCGAGCACCACAGCTCATGCAGAAGCCCCACGCCTCCCAAGTTCCCTGCATCCGGTGGGGGGAACCGAAATGATTTACTCTGGGAACCTCCACTGTACCGCCATTAAATCACTCAGGGGAGGTGACAGCATTTGCATACCACTCCCCACCACCTCTTCGAAGAGCAGCACCATACACAGGCAACCCCCCCCTCCCAAACCACTATTGTAATGAGAAAGAAATATACCACAGGCCATGCCAAGGTGCCTGGCAGGGTGAAGAGTGTCTCTGCTTTGAAGCCAAAGCCACCCGCCCCCCACTAGGAGGCTCTGCCACTCACAAGGCCCCTCTGTCAGGGGCTCTCCACCCACCCCAATTTTCTAGACCCTGAACACAATGGGTCAATGAAGCAAGGCGCGTCCATTTCCCCCAGCAGGGGCTGTAACAGCGCTGCTAATTTGCAAAGCCGTAGCATGCACAAAAGTGGCTTGAATAATAGGGGCCCCCTAGTCGCTAAGCTGGGGGATTTGTGCTGACTCTTACCAAGTACAGTTCCATATGTTTAAGCGCTTGCAAGGCTGAAAGAAGTACGCCCACCACACTCTTTACCATGGCAGCTACCCACGCGGGGGGAGGGGGGGCACAGAGCAGACAGTCCCTGTGTGTTGGGGGAGAGGGCATCCTTCCTTCCCTCAGCACCCTTCCAGCCCCTCTCCCAGAGCCTCAGCCAAACATGGCTGGTAAATCATGCCAGAAATTACCCAGAAAATCCAACCAGCTCTGAAGGAAGCTTTAGCTAATTCCTCTGAACCTTTCCACCAACAGTAGGCAGCTAAGTATCTTTCAAGAATTTCAGCCTTGTTTTTTTTCTTCCTAGCTCTCCTAACTGGTGCTAAATATAGAGTTATCAAACTGTCTCTCTTTACGTCCCTGGTAGGGACCGGTGAAAGACTTACGTGTGCTCGCAAGAACCTGAGGATGGCACCGAGGGCTCTGTCCTAGCGGCATTTGCCAAGAGAGCTGCCCAGCTGAGACTCTGGGGGAAAGCAGCAGGGCAGCTCGGCCAGGAGCTGGGCCAGCAGCAGGTTTCAGGGGTGGCACACCTTCCCTGCCAGGACCTGACCTCCCAGAGCCAGGCACAAGCTCTTCCGTTGCTAGGGGAGGGGGGGAGGGGGAGGGGGGGTTTCTCCATCTTCTCTAACAAGCACTAGGCAGGCAGCCTCCCCGAGAGATTTCCAATATTCGCCTATAAGCACATCCAGGCAAAGGCTGACCCCCGTGGAGAAACAAAATAGAGACAAAACTGCAATTTTCAAGTCCAAGGGACTGCACTTTTGGGAACAGGTCCCAGGGCTTCAGCTAGGAAGAAACAGCCTTGACCCTCCTTATGCACCACAGAAGAAAGCTGAGAGCAGAACAGATACTGCTTAGGAGCCAAGCAAACTGAAGATTCATCCACACATTAAGCCAAAGCTGAACGCCGATGGATATCTCTGACAGAAGGTTCTCTCCGAGTGGAAGGTTTTGTGAAATATTTTGGGTCACTTAAGGGCATCTCAAAGTAAGACAATATTTACTTTTTCCATGCAAATACATCACACATTAAGTTGGCATACAAGGCTTGTTCCTAAATACAACCTCCCTAAAGCAGTTACAGCTGAAAAGTTAAAGTTGTATTTTTCTACAGCAGCCTGGGTATCCGTGCCGTTTGTTTGTTAAGGAAATGAGAATTTTTCTAAAGCGAAAGGTATCTGCTCCCACATCATGGGTCCTGATTTTAAAATGTTTGGAGAACTGAGCTCTCCAAATGCACACGGATGTTGCTCGTGACTGTTCCGGGTTCATCTGAGCCTTTAGGATTGTCTCCACTGTTTGCGGTGGGGGAGGGGAGGAGAGGGATTGGCATTTTAAGATAGGCTTCCTCTAGAACCAACATGTAGCCACGCCAAGGTGGTAGAAGCTTTCCAAACTCCAGCAGGGAGAGAAAATACAGGACTATTTTGCCTTTCCCACTCACTAGGTTTTGGCGACAGCTGCGTCGGTGCCAACAGGAAGCCCGGCTCCATGGTACCCAGGCAATGGCTCTGGGCATCACCGCGTTCCAGGCGGCCCTGCGCGCACGGGGCTGCCTGGCCGCCTTGGGGTCAAGGAGCTGGAGCAGCACGCGTCTCCAGAAAGCGAGCAGCAGGCTGCGCCTTGGCTAAGGGAAGGCCACTTGAGGAGGGGACATGTTCCGGGAGGCGGGGGGGGGGGGGGGTAAAAGCAGGGGGGGGGGGGGGGGGGGGGGGGGGGGGGGGGGGGGGGGGGGGGGGGGGGGGGGGTGTAAAAGCAGGAGGGTGCGGCGAGGCGCGGGGAGAGGCTGCGGACAAGCCAGACAGACTGCGCCGACCGAGACGACCTCAAGGCTGGGGCCCCGCAGGTGTCCTGGGAACGCACGGCCGTGCGTCATCCGCGGGCATCAGGAAACCGGGAGAAGGGGTCCACCGACGCCCCGTCACAGCAAACCCCGCGGGAAGCAGGACCAGGCGGGGCGGGGAGGGGGCTAGATTCCTGGAGGCGCGCCCCCACCCGCCGCAAGAGGCTGAGCGCCTCGGGTCTGTTGCCCCCGCGCGCCCTGAAAGGATCCGCAGGGGAGCTGGGCTCTGGGGAGGAAGGCTGGCGGGCTCTCGCGCCGGGCAGAGGTACGTGCCGGGGACCCCTGGGTTCCCGGGGTCTCCCCAGATCTGTCTGGGTCCGGGAGATGCGAGCTGCCGGGGACTTGCGAAGGAGGTGGCCGCCCCGCGCTGGAGCCAACTTTGTGCGCGGCGGCCGGGGCCGGGGATGGGGGCCGGGGACGCGTTACCTGGGCACCGGAGCGCAGTCAGCGCCAGCAGGAGCCCGAGCGGCGGCGCCCGGCCCGGGGGCGGCATGGTCCTCGGCGCGCGGTGGGCGCGGCGCGGGGCTGCTCCTGTCGCGCGCCCGGCCCGGCCCGCGGCTCCCGGGGACAGCCCCGGGTGGCTACGCTCGGGCGCCGGGCATGGCTCGCCCCCAGGGCGCCGCTCCTCCCCAGACGCTGGCGGCGCTTCCTCCGCTCGCCCCTGCGCGCGCTCCGGGGCTCGGCCGTGCGCGGCCGGGGAGCTGGGGGCCGCGGGGGCTCAGCGCCCCGCGCCCGCGCCGGCGGCCCCGCACTTGG